ATGAACTTAAGCCATAATCCTTGGTAATCTTTTCGTACCTTTATCAATAGGAAAGTATTAATTATAGATAACTGACCCTAACAGATAAAACTTTAACTGTTTGACAAAAATATTAAAATAAACATTTGAAACATTTATTTGACTAATTTTTATAAGATAACGAAGGACTGAAATATACTGAAACCTATGAAATACATTGTTAAAGGCATCCACTCCCTACTGCCTGGCACTGTACATAGAATAATACACATGTATTATACATTCAATGTATGGGAATCCACCCTACTCATATGTACCATTTAACTTGATATAAAACTATAATATTAATTTCTAAGCACAGAGTTGTAAACATTTTAAAATTTAAATAGTTAAACACGACATAATTACGTGCCTTGGTTATTAGGTTTATATAATTTACACGAAAAATATTTTATCGCTTCTGAATGCCCACAACAAGCCGTTTGGCCTGACATCTGGAGCCATCCAATAACTTCTGATGCCCCTGCAGTCACAGCCACTGAGACCTCTTCGCCTTGAAGACGCTCTAGAAGCGGTTGCGCTCGAAACGGAGGTTATTGCGCTTAGCGTAACGTTACGTTAAAGCACCTGGGCTACCGAATGGGAGGTAAGTATAGGGTTGGATGTGATCCCTGTTGTCCGGCATAAATCTATCCGGGCTGAAGGTAAATGGATCCGGAAAGTGGTCGGGGTCGTGATGTATAGCATAGATAGGGATGTCAACGATCACTCCCTTCTCGATCTTCACTCCAGTGTTGCCTAACATGACGTCTTCCATGGCTTCCCTCTCGAGTCGAATTGCAGGAGAATAATGACGAAGAGTTTCGGACAGAAGTGCGTCAATGAATGGTAGTCTCGACAGTACTTCGTAATCCATTTCTCCCTTTTCATTGAACGCCTCTTTCGTCTCCTCATAGAGTCTGTCCTGAAGTCCCGGATTGAGGGCTAACTCATAGATACAGTACGACAGAGTTATTGAAACAGATCCATAACCGCCGATGAAGAATATGAAACATTGTCCTAATATCTCGTCTTCAGTCAACTTCTTCTCTAGTCCTAAAACTCTACTGAAAGCCTCGGCATTGGCTTTCATCTCATCCTTACCCTCATTCACATGATGTGCTTCATTGGCATCACTGGCCTCTCGTGTGTCTCCATCAGGTCTCTCGACATCCATTAATAGCTGCAGAAAATCGTTGTGTTTTTCGTTATTATTTCGTCGTTTCCTTATTAAACTTCGCGATAAATCTGCGAAAAATTTCTTTTCAGTTATACCGGTGCTAACGACACGTCGGTATATATTAGTGTTAACTATAAATGATGGCAAAGGCAATCGGCCCGTCCTGTTGGAAACATTGATGAAATTTAAGGCATTGGTAGTGAACGGGTTGTTAGGATCGGCGTATGAATTGATTTTCGTAGCGAAGGCACAGCTGGCGATCACATCCATAGTGTAGGCGCCCATCAGTCGCTTCAACTCGACTTCATTCACACCATTCGACACATTGTTATCTAAGGTATTGAGAAAGTCTTCGCAGCAATGGCTGATCAGAGCATACATTTTGCGCATCTTTCCGGACGTGAAGGTAGGACTGACTATCGCCCGGACCCGCTTCCAGTTGTTATCCCTGGCTCTGGTCAAATTGAGGCCGTCCTGCCCGGGAGATATGGATCGGTTACGAAACGCATTGAAATCTTTGACCAGAATTTGTTTGATGAGCGCCGGGTCGGCCACTGCTAGCCTAGGCTTTCCTGAACAGTATAATCTGTAAAACAATTTCAAAATGTTATCAAAAATATCGTAAATTTTGTTTTTATTTTGACGGCATAATTACCCATAAATTTTGCCGTATTTCTTATACCACTCCAACTCCAGTAATGGCCGAGGCTTTAGGGATAAACTCAAAAGGTTTCCGAATATAGGGATGGGTTTTGGACCACAAATGTGTCGATCCTTCCAATAGCTGACGGCATTCCTCCACGAACTCAATGAATGAATGAATCATTTCATGAAANAGGGATGGGTTTTGGACCACAAATGTGTCGATCCTTCCAATAGCTGACGGCATTCCTCCACGAACTCAATGAATGAATGAATCATTTCATGAAATATTATGTTTTGAAGTAAATTACATTTATTAATGAAATCTAATATACACCATGTATTATGCCTTACATGTAGTAATAGGCGATCACCGCCACAATGAGTCCTATGAGATACCACTCGTATGTCTGACAAATCAGTGCCAACACTGACCCCAACAATAATGTCATAATTCACGGGATGTTTAATAAATCAACTTTTATTATAAACTTCAAGTACAATTTAAAACTTATAAATATTGAATACTCTGTTTCATGGCTTTTTATACACAATTTTTACAAGTCACACATTAAATTTGTTTTTTAAAAATATCAGTCAAATATGTACAAGATTCCGTTTAAACTCCTTTACATTTACACATGTTTCTCAAATGTAATTGTTGCAACATCATGTAATGTTAAACAAAGCGGATTACTGAAGTCAATCGATACATGCGCTTTTCCAGTTTAAGATATTGAAATTTATACAAAATTAAAAATTATATTTAAATTTTGAGAACAAGGTCAATAAATAGACTTTGGTCTGCTTGAACCCCTTTGCAATCGGAACTAAAACTTAATTATATTTATATTAAGGTTAATTATATTACTTAGATTAGTAAAAGTTTTGTTAGTATTGTATTTAGTGTAATAGATTGTGTAATAATTTCAAATGTTTATTAATAATGTGGTGTTGAGTGACGTCTGTGAAACGATTGTGACCTAATTGTCTTATGGCAATCGTGTAGTTGTTGTACAGACAAGTCTAGCGAAAGTGTTAAGTAATGACTTTATTTTGTAGAAAGTATAAGTTGTAGTCCATAAAGGCTAAGCATGGCATGAAAGCAAGAGTTTACTGATTGAATTTAATTGTATAGGTCAGACGACCCTTGAGTGCTTTAGTTATAAATAAGATTTATAAGTAAAGTTTTATAACTTTAGCAAAGTTGCGAAAGAATGAAATCACTGAAATGTTCTACAGAAAGTTTTTGTGTAAATTAGGTTTAAGGTCAGAAAATGATTATGAAATTGTGAAATTATGAAAAATCAGGACAAAAGGGTATTTGGCAATCCATAATGAAAGTCCAATCTTATTCATAATAATTTGTATGACTTCATTAGATACTATTGAATGATAAGTAAGGGACGGATGGCTTACCTCTGAAGACATGCGTTATTGTTTCTTCATCGGAAAATCAGAGTTTGAGATTAAAGCTTCTGTTCTTAGATTTTAAGGACACTTGTGTTTTACTCATGACTTTTAGTTCACTATAATAGCACAGCTCAGACGTAGACTAGGTCGGGATGCGAGGCTAAGCCGCTCCCGGGTGGTCGCGAGGCGCGCTCAGCAACTGCGTACCGCAATATTCTTAAACCCCATGTTAAGTCTATGGGGAAACTAATTAAAATGAGCTTAAAACCCCATGCTAATCCTATGGGACCAGTGTACTATTTTTAAAGGGGTTGGGTTAGGTTAGGTTAGGTATAAACTGAAAGATTATCTCTATTGTAAATGTATGATACAATGATATACAATAATATGTACAGGGTGGCAAATAACAGCTTAAAATAATTTTCAAATATTTTAATTTCCAAATAATTGTAGTTTACTTAAACGTATAATAGTTTACAATAAAACACATGTTGACACAAAAGTATTGTGAACTGAATTACCTAAATCTTGTACTAAATTAACATATTTGTGCACAAAATAAACCTATTTTTACAGTGATTTAATTTATGTAATTTTGTGCATAATTAAGTTAAATTAATACGCAATTGAGTTATTTTATTTTCAAAATTATGTTAATTTAATAAATAATTAGATTGTTCACTTCACAATTAGGGTAATTTAGTTAATAATTATGTTAATTTAGTGCACAATTAGGATAAATTAATCCGAAATTAAGTTAATTTAGTTCATAATTAGGGTATTTTAATGCTTAATTACGCACACAATTTAGGTAATTTAGTGCTCAATTAAATTAATTTAATCTGAAACTAAGTTAATTCTGTTCAAAACTATGTTCATTTATAACATAATTGAATTCACTTCACAATTAGGGTAATTTAGTTCTATGTAAAATGAGTTCAAATATTTAAAACTTATGTTAAATATAACAAAATCTCTTTATTTTAAATATAAATTGTTTTGAAAATAAAAGCATTATAATCCAACACTATCTGTTCACCCGGTACACTGAACGTTATCAGTAATGTTTGTTTAGTGCCTAGATTTTTTGTTTGTTTATCACTATGTTCTGCTTATCACCTGAATTATATTCAAATATATTCAAAATATATTGAAAAATAAAAATAACTTGAACTAAAAAAGCGTATGCCTCGATTAACTTCAGTTATCCGCCTTGTTTATAATTATAATAGTATTTTACAAATAAATGTATTTCGATATCAATGTGATAGTTAAGACAATTAATCCGTTAATCATATCCATTTTGATNATAAATGTATTTCGATATCAATGTGATAGTTAAGACAATTAATCCGTTAATCATATCCATTTTGATTGTTTTTAATTAAAGTGAACACTTTTACAGTATAATTGTAATACAAAATAGTGGTTCAAGTATACTGTATATTAGCAAATAAATGGATAAATAATTCTTTTATAGTAATAGACTTAGATTAATGCTTATCATTCAATTTTGTATTTAGAAAAATGACATTGCTTTTATATTGTATTTCAATATTAATATAAAGTTATTTCTTTTAAAATTTAAAATGATTGACATAGTTCAAATTAAAAATAATTATTAAAAATTATTTAAAAAGCTTTACTTCATAATAGGATAGTAATATAACTGCGCCTGGTTACTAAAGTTATAATTAAAGGTAAAAAATAGATAATTAATAACTTTTATTACTAACGAGTAGAAAGTATAGGGTTGGATGTGATCCCTGTTGTCCGGCATAAATCTATCCGGGCTGAAGGTAAATGGATCCGGAAAGTGGTCGGGGTCGTGATGTATAGCATAGATAGGGATGTCAACGATCACTCCCTTTTCGATTTTCACTCCAGTGTTGCCTAACACGACGTCTTCCATGGCTTCCCTCTCGAGTCGAAGTGCAGGAGAATAATGGCGAAGAGTTTCGGACAGAAGTGCGTCAATGAATGGTAGTCTCGACAGCAATTCGTAATCCATTTCTCCCTTTTCATTGAACGCCTCTTTCGTCTCCTCATAGAGTCTGTCCTGAAGTGAAGGATTGAGGGCTAACTCATACGTACAGAACGACAGAGTCATTGAAACAGATCCATAACCGCCGATGAAGAATATGAAACATTGCCCTAATATCTCGTCTTCAGTCAACTTCTTCTCCAAAACTCTACTGAAAGCCTCGGCGTTGGCTTTTATCTCATCCTTACCCTCATTCACATGATGTGCTTCATTGGCATCACTGGCCTCTCGTATGTCTTCATCAGGTCTCTCGACATCCATTAATAGCTGCAGAAAATCGTTGTGTTTTTCGTTATGATTTCGTCGTTTCCTTATTAAACTTCGCGATAAATCTGCGAAAAATTTCTTTTCAGTTATACCGGTGCTAACGACACGTTGGTATAGATTAGTGTTAACTATAAATGATGGCAAAAGCAATCGGCCCGTCCGGTTGGAAACATTGATGAAATTTAAGGCATTGGTAGTAAACGGGTTGTTAGGATCGGCGTATGAATTGATTTTCGTAGCGAAGGCACAGCTGGCGATCACATCCATAGTGTAGGCGCCCATCAGTTGCTTCAACTCGACCTCATTCACACCATTCGACACATTGTTATCTAAGGTATTGAGAAAGTCTTCGCAACAATGGCTGATCAGAGCATACATTTTGCGCATCTTTCCGGACGTGAAGGTAGGGCTGACTATCGCCCGGACCCGCTTCCAGTTGTTATCCCTGGCTCGGGTCAAATTGAGGCCGTCCTGCCCGGGAGATAGGGATCGGTTACGAAACGCATTGAAATCTTTGACCAGAATTTGTTTGATGAGCGCCGGGTCGGCCACTGCTAGCCTAGGCTTTCCTGAACTGTATAATCTGTAAAACAATTTTAAAATGTTATCAAAAATATCGTAAATTTTGTTTTTATTTTGACGGCATAATTACCCATAAATTTTGCCGTATTTCTTATACCACTCCAACTCCAGTAATGGCCGAGGCTTTAGGGATAAACTCAAAAGGTTTCCGAATATAGGGATGGGTTTTGGACCACAAATGTGTCGATCCTTCCAATAGCTGACGGCATTCCTCCACGAACTCAATGAATGAATGAATCATTTCATGAAATATTATGTTTTGAAGTAAATTACATTTATTAATTATATCTAATATACACTATACTATGCCTTACATGTAGTAATAGGCGATCACCGCCACAATGAGTCCTATGAGACACCACTCGTATGTCTGACAAATCAGTGCCAACACTGACCCCAACAATAATATCATAATTCACGGGATGTTTAATAAATCAACTTTTATTATAAACTTAAAGTACAATTTAAAACTTATAAATATTGAATACCTTGTTTCATGGCTTTTTATACACAATTTTTACAAGTCACACTTTAAATGTGTTTTTTAAAAATATCAGCCAAATATGTACAAGATCCTGTTTAAACTCCATTACATTTACACATGTTTCTCAAATGTAATTGTTGCAACATCATGTAATGTTAAACAAAGCGGATTACCGAAGTCAATCGATACATGCGCTTTTCCAGTTTATGATGTTGAAATTTATACAAAATTAAAAATTGTATTTAAATTTTGAGAACAAGGTAAATAAATAGACCCTTGGTCTGCTTGAACCCCTTTGGCAATCGGGACTAAAACTATTTATGGATATTGTAGCGGTTGTGCAGTATTAGAGTTAACATTTAGATTGTTGTTAATTATATTACTTACTTGTTAGATTAGTAAAAGTTTTGTTAGTATTGTATTTAGTGTAATAGATTGTGTAATAATTTCAAATGTTTATTAATAATGTGGTGTTTAGTGACGTCTGTGAAATGATTGTGACCTAAGTTTGGCTTTGCTTTCCATCAGATCTATTTTTATACGCTTTTCCGTAAGAATAAAAAGCGTATACTAGAATCACTAGGAAAACCCCCCTCCTCCACCCATTATTATTGACGCTGATGACGGTCAAACTGCATTTCCCATAGACTTATCATGGGGATTATGGTCGTAATAAGCAATAAGAACTTTGTTTTTTCTATGGAAAATTCCAGTAAAAGTGGGCAAAAGTATTTCCGATGACGTAATGACGCTGTGTTTTCAGTCCCATGTTAAACCTATTGGAAAATTGTCTAATATTTATGCAATATAGTGTCAAATAAGTATATGAATGCAGATTATTATAACTAAGCTATATCACTGAAATATAATCTAATGGCATAGCAATAATAATATGATTATATTATTTTCATAGATTTTGGACTTAAACACAGAGACATCAACTAAAACTACTGGTGTATGTAATTGGGCAGTGACTTAAAACTAGTAAACTAATTGAAATGCTACGTATAGTGTTGCGAACAACGTATGTTTAGAGACAATGTTATGTGAACTAGTTACATTTTCATTGTAATATTTAAATAAATATTTTTAAAATATAGTTCATTATAAATATTAATAAACAATACGTATTGTAATATAAATAGATATATTTAACAATATCAGTTATAAACAATGGCCAACGTACGAGTGTTATTAAAAAATGGGACATACACTGATATACGTGCTACTGAATACACTGATTGGGATTTATCCTTGCCCCTAGGCCATGACCCAATTGCGCATACCGTCACAAATAATTTAAACACGGAGCTAATTCGCCAAGGTCATTATCGCGAAAATACACACCATTTGGTCTTCATCGAATACGAGGATCATGCTGATACAATAAATAAAATGATGGTACTAGATTCCCGGAACTACTTAATCATTGTCGCAATCAGGTTCACATTTACGACAAAACAGAGACCGTATGGAAAATTAGTGAATTCCTCATTCAGAGGGAAAGGCTGTCTATAGATAAGGATTTGAAGGCATCGAAAGGTATGATTGAGACGGAAGTGAAGGCATTGAGTGATGCGATGAAAGACATGAATGAAAAAAAGGAAAGGGATGTGAAAGACATGAGACAAGAGTTGATTGCATTGAAGGCTACAAACGAGACAATGATTTGTGAGAACAAAGAGTTGAGTCAATCGATGGTGTCTTTGAAGGAAACAAATGAGAGAATCGAAAGTCAGTTAAAAGTATTCACACAACAGATGATGGCTTTGGAGATGAGGTTTGGTTCAGATTTTATTTAAATTATATTTATTTAAATATTGTTAATTGAATATTATTTATGACATAAAAAAGGGATTCAAAGACTGACTGTACATCTGATGGGAAGGGATCACAGAATCCATTGAACACCACTTCTGGTGATAAGAATGCGATCGAAATGTTTAATGAGATCTTAAAACACATCCAAAAGACAAATGATTTGATGAATGGTATGAATGGAGAGAAAGATAAGGCTTTGACAGCACTCGAGGGGATCAGACAAGTGGTGGACAACACGGACACTGAATCCACGGCTAGTGTCCAGACATTGAATGAACACATGAGTGAACTTAATATCTCAATGTATGTATGATTCAAATAAATACTTATTATCACTAATGTTATCATCAATTCATTCGTATATATTGTATATTATTAATAATAGTAATTTATTATATTTATATTACCCTGTATCATTACATTATTTTAAACCATAACAGTTCTGGAAGTGCTGAAGACATACCGGTGGACCCAATGGCAGACAAGATCTTATGGTTTGAGCAGAAATACAGTCAGCTATTGGCAAAAGACTGTCAAATGTTTAGACAATTGTCTGGACTTAGGTTTATGTGAATCCTATCGTAAATACGTATATATACTGTATATATAGCTTTCAAATTAATATTGTTTTAATTAATTATATAAACAGCCCTAACCTCAGGACATAAGTGATTGACGAAATTATATCTGGATTTATAATACAATTAAATGAAGGCAAAAATCAGCTATCATATAATTATGTTTCATAAATACTACAGTATAATAAGTATCATCTATGCAAAATATTCCAAATTAGTTTTGCATATTAATATTTATAAAATAATTACTGATATTTTATAAAATAAAAATTACTTTTAAATACAAACATTTTATTCAAATTTTTAGTATACTGTATTTTGTTAGTAATACAATTATTATACAATCAAAATGCATAAATTTTAATCTTTTTTAATTCTATGATTTGCATTATTATTATTACTTAAAATATATGTCTTAACAAAAAAATTCATAAACAGTATCAAAAACAAGGTATATATCGTAATTCCAAACTTAGCCGTATCTATGGACACATCGCATGCCTGTCCACTCATTTTCATATTAATGGCCACATAATTCACGTAAAACCCAGCAATCATTTGCATAATTTGTAGTGAAGTTATTGCTATACTAACGGTACGGGTGATTCGCACCCGCATTGCTTTCAACGCATAATAGGTATACATCAGGGAATGGACTCCGAAGTTCATGGTAACCATCCACTGATAAGTACCCGGGTATTCGCCTATACTATACCAACAGTAACATAGGGTCACCGCGTGGTGTATCCAATGAAGTCGTATTAACCTCCCGTTCATCAACAAAATAAACAGGGTATCTATGAGTTCAGCAATTTTGGACCACACGAATAGGTTGTACCACCAGAGCACCCGTAGGTCTTTGTAGTAGTCCGACTGACATACCGTTGCCATAAAGCCTTTAGTGTAGTATAAGTGCCAGAATTGTGGTAAACACCTAACGGTGCCTAATATTGAGAATATAGCCAATGCCCAGTTCCATAGAATTAGCATGGCAATTAGCAATTTATAAGGCTTTCCCCTTATTTTCATCAATAGCCTTATGATTGGTATAAATGTGATATATACTAGTGATATGAATACAGAATAATACCAATTCTGTTGCATATATTCCTGTATGGAATCCATGTTAACTGTACGGAACACCCAATCCTCCCATTCCGAGAGCACCGGTATATACGCGAAACCATAGGGAAATTGGTGCCAATTTTGGGACCACTTTTTGGTGTTATTATAGCGAATAATATTATAGTAATTATAACGTAAATCTGTACACATTTTGTTAATTAAAAACTTTCTTATTTAATTATACAAGTTTTATTCATTAATGTCTAGATTTAGCTAGCATTTTATTATAGAAATAAATTTATGTTAAACATTTATCTAAATTTTACAGACATAAATTGTTTTGTTTAAATAAATGTTTTACATAGTACAAGTACAAGTATATGATTACTATTTTTAGAAATCACACATTAACATTAGTTATTTATAATTTAACAAAATAGTCGTATGATAAAATGAATAAAAAACTTATTTTAATAATATCAGGTTTATATAATATTTTTAACAAACTTAAATTGTTTAAAATAGTTAATCAAATTATATTATTCTCATATGCAACAAAATAACATTATATTTAAATACACTTTAATTTTTATTTACCAATTATAAATTCTAGCTACCATACAGTTTTAAAAATTGAAAATATTAAAAAATAATTTGCTATAAATTTATGAAAATTATTGTGAATACCTATTTACCAGTATCATATCAACTCTATTAATACACACTAAATTGTATAGTTAACATAAAAATTTACAACGCAATTTTAAAAATATTATATTAAAATTCATACTGAACATTTTATTCACTTTTAATTTTATGCTTTTCATTACTATTGCCTAAAAAGTATGACTTCAGAAAAAAGTTCATAAACAGCACCAAAAACAGCGTATATATTGTAACACCGAGTTTGGCTGTCTGTACGGACACATCGCATGCCTGTCCACTCATTTTCCTATCAATTGCCACATAATTCACGTAAAACCCGGCAATCATTTGAATAATTTGTAGCGAAGTTATCGCTATACTAACGGTACGGGCGATTCGCACCCGCATTGCTTTCAACGCATAGTAGGTATACATCAGGGAATGGACCCCAAAATTCATGGTAATCATCCATTGAGTAGTACCCGGGTGTTCACCAATAGTGTACCAACAGTAGCATAGAGTCACCGCGTGGTGTATCCAATGTAGTCGTATTAACCTCCCGTTCCTCAGCACAATAAACAGGGTGTCTATGAGTTCTGGTACTTTGGACCACACGAATAGGTAGTACCACCAGAGCACCCGTAGGTCTTTGTAGTAATCGGATTGACATACCGTTGCCGTTAAGCCTTTAGTGTAGTATAAGTGCCAAAATTGCGGTAAACACCTAACGGTGCCTAATATGGAGAATATAGCCAATGACCAGTTCCATAGCGTTAACAGTGAGGTTAGTTTATAAGGCTTTCCCCTCATTTGCATCCATGTGCTCAGTATTGGTATGAGTAGTACATAGACTAGTGATATATATACAGAATAATACCAATTCTGTTGCATATATTCTTGTATGG